CTTTTTTGCTCGTAAACTCTCTTACAAGAAGTATTATTAGATGAACTGTTGCTTCGGTGCTTCTGTTGTCACAACCCCATCAGCCTCGTTTCCACAGGCTCATTCGAAATTAGAGTTGAAAAAACGAGACCAGTGGCAAAAAGCATTGTTTAAAAACAATAAAATCATCAATTCTAAACACATACATCGTTAACACACAGAAAATAGTACGTAAGACAAAGAAAAACGAAGAAAAACGTGCTTTAGCTGGAACGTAGGGCTAAATGTACGCGCTCTACCGCAACGGGGTGCTCAAATTCAAATTCGAAGGTGCCCACCTAGCGACTGCTGGGGTGAGGACGACTATACAAGCATTTGCTTTGTAGATTTTTTTTAAATGTAGTTGACGCCATTCTCCTCAAGAATATACCACAATTATTTTCTGTGTGAGAACCTTCAAGAGGCTTTCTTTGGATGGCCGTCTCATCAATCATCAAAAAATAATTCCTGCCCTATCCTCCTGATATCTATCTCCCTTTCTTCCCCCCTCCCCTCCTCAAACAGTTTTTCACCTAACCATATGTTGGAAATCATGACCGCACAACGAGTTCCTTTACCTGCGAAGCAGCCCTGCGTGCAGCATCGAACGAGACCCTCTGCTCGTCGTTGGCCGTTTCCAAAAGGTCTTCCTTTGTGCCAACCAGTAAGACCGGCACGTTATCACCGGCGTACTTTCGTATCTCTGGCATCCAAACCGTCAAACAAACATCCTAAATGCATATAAGGCATGTCACGAAAAAGCATGACTATACGCTTTTGTATGATTCACACTTTAAGACCAAAGAAGCTTGCCGACCTCAGAACGTATCAAGAAAAAAAATAGACTTGAATTTTACAATAATGGGGAAAAGAGGATGAGATTGAAAATGCTTCTAACAAGTAATTCCGCAGCGAAAGGAGGAAAGCTATATTCATTTATCATAAGTTCTAGAAAAAGACCCCTAGGGATGAAAGTGCTTTTCCAACCAAAAGTGCACGTGCTCTAAAGGAGTTTTTCCAGCTCAACAAATGCTATTAGTTTGGAGCATTCTTGCACTGAAATTTTTGGGAATTTTACTACTTTCTTAGGGTTCAAAACACCGTATATATTGAATAGGAAAGATAATGCGTTTTCAGTGCAGTAATTTTTGTTGGCATTAAAAGATTTGGCTTGACGCTAAAAGACCTATTAAATTAGCACCACTACGTGCGATTTAGCCACCACTTATTCTGA